TGTTACAAAATAATGTGTTTTGTTTTACTGATAGAACTAGAATGATCACTGGACACGCAGGATGCTGTAAAACACAGCATATTGTTGGTCCTCCCATCTGAGAAAATATTCAATATTTTTATGACTTGTACTGACCATGCTGACTAAGCGTATATTATGTCTCAGTCACAAATTTCAGACTGATACTAACTGGTTGCTCTCTTTTGGCTATTTTCACCACAATGCTGAAGCTTGTTTCTAGAAGTTATTCCTTTTGGGCCAGAAATCTGTGTCTTGGGTGTAAGTGTTGGCACACTGTTTGAGCCATACTCAGGATAATATGCCACTCACTCACTCACCTGCCTGTCCTCCTACCATGACTGATGCCACTACCTGTCCTTCCCGACCCTCTGCTCAAACATTGACACATCCACACACAAACCCCCCCATTCAACTGTAACTCTAAAAAACAGAAATTAACATCGCTGTTCAACAGAAGCGTTGCCATGGTTCTACTCCCATGTCACCTGACCCATGCATGTGTGCTGGCCAAGACACAGGAAAATAGTTTCAACTTCCTCCATTAGAAGATAATAAGACATTACATATTGACAAGAGCCAGTCTGTGAACTCACACAGTCTTTGAAAGTTACGGTATCTGTAATGAGTTGTCTTTTGTCCGACTTAACTGACCTTGTTTACACATATGGGATTCAGTTGGCATTTAATGGGCCATGCTGACAATGAAACAAGGACACAGAGCAGTATCACATCTAATTTCTGAGCTCTATAGCCCACCTGATCTCTGAGTACAATTTCACACCTGATTTTGCACCTGGTTTTCCTTGTTGCATGAAAAAACAATCAAAATAAACAACACTGAGCATCCTTGCTCACATCGTGACGTCTTAAACTACATAATATTGTCCTTTCCAAGAATGATATCACTTTGTTTGATATAATACATAATATTGTCCTTTCCAAGAATGATATCACTTTGTTTGATATAATACATAATATTGTCCTTTCCAAGAATGATATCACTTTGTTTGATATAATACATAATATTGTCTTTTCCAAGAATGATATCACTTTGTTTGATATAATACATAATATTGTCCTTTCCAAGAATGATATCACTTTGTTTGATATTAACAGTAATAACATAGATGACACAGTTACATCACTTGGTGACATATTGACAGAGCCACTGATAGCTACATTGTCTGAACCATTTAGTATGAAATCTAAGAGTTTCTTTTCTGGAAAAGTGCAACTCGAATCCATATGTCTTCACTCCTTGAATGACGTAGTTGTATTTGTTTTGTCAGACGAGACATTTTGATTACCAAGATTATGAGACTGCTTATGCTACAGCTACTACTGATTCTACCTCCAAAAACCGATCATATTAGAAATAAGCCCTGCGGAGAGGATCAACCAGTAAAATCAGAGAATATGTATGCAGTATGTGGTTATAATACCCTCAAAGCATAATTGATGTCAAAAGACTTGGCACCTGCTCCAGGCAGCTCTGGCTCTTTATAGTTACAGAAAAAACAGATTAAAAAACAAGGATACATCTACTGCTGTGCATTACAGGCGGAATGTATCGGTGTTATTTATTTATCTTGTGGATTAGTGACTATATTTGGGGCGGTGGGGTAGCCTAGTGGTTAAAACGTTGGCTCGTCACGCCGAAGACCTGGGTTCGAATCCCACATGGGTACAATGTGTGAAGCCCATTTCTGGTGTCCCCCGCCGTGATGTTGCTGGAATATTGCTAAAAGCGGCGTAAAGCCAAACTCAGTCAGTCAGTCAGTGACTATATTTCATAAGAAGCTGGCAAACACTCAGAGTCATTGATATGTTGTAGGTAGATTTTGTGTGTCTCTCAGCACTATGCTGGGTCTATCATCGGAGCATGTTGAGTCCATGGAACTTTTTGGTTAATACCTGCTTGAAACATTGAGGTATCTTTTCGCCAGAGACTTTAGAATTTATGCAACAAGGACTGTCTGTGTGTCCTTCGCAGTGTGGGCAGACGTCAATATTGTCCAGCTGAAAATAACAGTGGTTGGGTTTACCAGAAATCAGTAGATGTTTACATCTAGCTTAGAGATATTTATACAACATTACCAAGTTCAATTTTGATAGTGAAGGTAGGCAAACAGTTATTCAGTATGAAACATTGGATATGTTGCATAATGTCTAAAGGAATATAGCTCGCACAAATGGTGATAAGGTTTTGGCACTGTTGCAATTTAGTGATCATTAATGATCTCTTAACTGACATAAACATCACTTATTTGACTGTATATTTCTTTTGCTTTGATTGTGGTTTGTTTGATGGAAATTTAGGATTGTCTAACAGGGACACAGTGTTAAAATCACAGACTCATGACACGTTGAGAACAAGTCTGATTGGTGGAGGTGGAGGTCACCATTAACCAGGTAATGGAGGGCAAGTCAATGAAGTACAGTATTTCATGACCTTGCCTTATCTGCCGACTGGGTACACCTACAATATACTGGATACCTATGTGCTATTTTGTTTGATGCTTCATATATGTTTAAGCAGATATATTTAATACTGTATTTACTTAAATTGAACGAATGGTTGTTTTGTCTGCATGATTGATCAGATATTGCTAGGCATCTTTGAAGCTTGCCACTCATGGTTTGCATTTGATTATGGCCGATTGATTTCATTATTCGTGGTGGGGAAAAATACAGAGAAACAAAAAATATCTGTTAAAAGATGAATCACAGGCAGTAAAGCCTAAAGGTCAGTGAGTATGAAAAGAAATATTGTCAGAAATTTCAGAAGCTCTGGGTTAAGTTTTTTGAGTATTTACAAGCAATTAGCAATGTCTTTGCCTTCTCATTCTTGTGATAAGACACCATTTGTGAACAAGAATTGGGACAAGTACACCATGTAGACTTTGTCTCAGGATAAGTGAACTTTTACTGTTTGTCATTTTGGGCATTTATTAAAACCCATTCATAGTGTCTTGTACCATGGTACGCCCACTACAGTATGTATTGCGGTACAAGAAGGCCTTCGATTCTGTTCGATTCGGGACGGTATATGTTATGAGATAAGATCATAATGCAGAAAACTGACAACAAGAGCCATCTAACAAAGAAATGCATAGATTTTGACAAAATTGTTCAATTTTTAGACATTTTAGAAAAGGTTTAAAAAGGTTAATAAAATGTTGGTACGAAAACTGAAAATACCGAATTTTTGGATTGTATTATGGTATACCGATCGAAGGCAAAATACCGGTTCTACTTATACCTCGGCATACCGTTTCATGCCAAGTGTCTTGTGGCATGTACATGTAGTGGTATTAATGTCCTGATATTACTACTAAAAATCTCCTCTCTTCCCATGATTACTACCTTGCAATATTTTGTCAATTTATTAAGTGTGCTGTGAGTGTGTGATAGATTGTTTGTTTACACTTGACTAATGTGTAAGTAAGTCTGCTGATTCAGCATTAAATATTCCTCAGCCAGTCAATCAGTGACCAGCCATCCCAGTCCAGCAACTCGTCACATACCTCTGTTGTCAGTGGTCAGTCGACTGAACCCCTAATCCCCCAGAATAAGGTCAAGTATACAGACCCATCTCTGTCTACATGCTCCCCTGATACAGGAGCCCCCTGGTGTCTGTTAGGAAACTGTCTCTCTGTCAGTGTAATTACGTACTGTCAGTCGACACACTTCAGCTTCAGTGAGTACTTGTTATTCTTCCATGCCACGGATATTTAGTCACAGAAAACTGACTGACAGATAGTATAGCCAGGCCTGGTGTCAGTAATTATGTGGGTGTTAGTGATATTTCACCTTTTCACCTGATGAAAACACTCAAAAAAAAAGAGGGTAAGGGCAAAAGGGCATAGATGCAATGTCAGTCTATGGATAAATTATGTATGTTTTGTGGATCATTAGTGAAGACATTGTTCTTACAGAGGGCAGGTATTGTAACAGGAAAGTCCTTGGATTCAATTCAGATGGTGAGATTAGGGGTGAAACAATACTGCAAGGTCACAAAATGATACAAAGGTCATTATATGATACATAACACGATACATCGGTTATGATACGATGCATATTGCACTTTGCATATTCATGTCAAATTGTGTGGAAACTTCCTGACAATGAAGATTTCAGACCTGGTGTTGAGAGAAAATCTTTCTGCCGACATGTAATGACTACTTTTTTTAAATAAACCTGAAACAAAGTTTCAATACATTTTGGGATATTAACTGACAAAAATACAGTAAGTAAGATAGAAGTCTTTGTATCGAGACTGAAACATATTGACAAATGCACCAATGTTCTGCTTCATGCCTTTTGAGGATGTATTTGTTTCGAAGTGTCCAGGTCCGGTGAGATCCCCTCTATGCTATCTAAGGCTTGAGGTTCTGTGTAGATACCTATCTCCTCCCATCACCAAGGGTATTGATGGCACATGAATGTTAACAATGGCTAGAGGTTAAGTTCCAGTGAGATAAGCCTTTCTTTCTTACTATAGCTCAAACCAACAACTGAAGACTCGAGATCACTGAGGTCTTATATGTATCACGTATCATATGTATCATGATTTGACGGGTGTGGAAACATCAGAACTCTGAACTTTCCCTAGACGTCAACAGTTAAAATTCACACGTCCTGAGACTGTCTACTTGTCTAAATTCTTGTCTTGTGTTTTATCACTGGAATGGGTAGGCAGAGTTATTGTCGTTTGTTTGTAGTCACTGAAAATCTAGAAGCCTGTGCTTCTTGGTAATGTTTGTTTTCATGCTCACTGATGTTTACTGCCTGTGATTTATGTTTCATATCTCTGTTTTTCCACACCACATATAATGAAATCAGTCAGCCATAATCAAATGATAACCAACGACCTTCAAGGAAGCCTTGCAACATATTGCGCAACTGACTATTATACTCTGATCAATCACACACAGATCGAGCAATCAGAGAGTTTTCTCCTGATCTGTGAGATATGAAATGTTAAGTAGTAGTTTATGATGACATGGACCCTTTCACATTGACACTGTAATTGTATAGAAATACTTCCTGTTTTGTGTGTGTTTCACTACTGTGTTCTGAAGTACAGTCAGATTAATTTGTTTGTTGTTGAAAATATTGACCTATACAAGCTGGGTTTGCTATTAGAAAATGTGTCCGAGCTGAGCTGACTGTGTACCGTCCAGCAGGATAATCATCTTGCGTATGTACCATGTTTATGTGTGGATATTAACCATGTTAAGACTGATTCTTATAGGATGTGTGTAAGCATGCATGTAAACAGGTGACATGAAGAACATGAAGGGAAGAAAGTACTGCACTGGATAGAAAACATGTCAGTTATTATGGTAATACCACAGTTTAGGTTGTTTTTTTTGCAACCACAGTTTATTTTTTTTGGGCAAATACCTCCTCTGATGAACATAATGAAACTCAAAATTCCAGATTATTAAGTGATGATGTAGCTAGACATCTTAGGCCTGATGGCCGTGGTCCTGTATATACAGGTCACAAATCATTGAAGTTAAGTAGTGACAGTTGAAGAAAATTGTTGGATGCCTGTCTGTGTTTGGCAGCTTGACTCCTGAGAGACTCTGCCTTCTGTAATCTGAAGGTTATGTTGGGGGTTTTAACGCCACACTCAGCAATATTCCAGCTATTTGGGGGCTGTCTGTAATTAATGGACCAAACAATCCAATGATCAAGAGCATGAGCATTGCTCTACACAGTTGGAATATGATGACATATATCAACCAAGTAAGTGAGCCTGACCACCTGATCCTATTAGTCGCCTCTTACTGAAGACCAATCCTAACCTGGATCTTCGCGGGCGAAGCCTATGTAGCACCCATGGTGTCTTCTCTGGCTAGTTACTTTGTTTGAAATATGTCTCTGTTCAACCAGCAGTGAGTGGGTACCCTGTGGGATGAGACAGTAAGATGACTGTTAACCTTTTTGCGCTTCACAGTCAATTTGGTTATGTACTCCTTAGGGAGCTGAAAATGAAAATCCAATGAACTCTATTCAATCGACAAGGGTAATTATAATGTAGTGACCCTGTGAGCAGCATATCTGGAATACAAATAGATTATCTTTATTAAGTATAGAGGAATCCTAACCGTAGAGAAGCTGTAGACAGGATGCCACAGTAACTAATGCCCTTGTTCTAGCAGCGTTCAGTACAAACAATGTTTAGCCTGCAATGTGTGGCAGTCTTAGTGTCAGAACATCATTCAGCTGACAGTACTGATTGATTTATCTGCATCACCGGCCAGGTTCAACAAAAACACAATAATTGATCGTACTACGGTGCTGTAACTATGTCATGGCGCTCACTGTGTTATAAACATTGTTTTCTGACATCTATGAGTGTTAGTGATGGGATGTACATACTGGTAAGGCAAGGGATGAGTGTTGTTCAGAGCCAACCTCTCCTTTATGTTACATTGTAGTGGCCATATCCATCACTGAATGTCCTGTGGGATCATTTTCAGCCTTTGGGTTGTTTACAGATGTAGGAATATTATTTCCAGTGCAATGAAAGCTAGTTGACCTATAATTATTGGAACCACCACAAATTTTACTTATTTGTTTGATTCACATATTGATTGGTGTCTGTGTATAGTGGAGTATTTTGAGCAACTGTCCATGGCTTAAGTGCACTTTGAGGCAAGTTTGTTTCCAATTTTTAGACTGTTATGCTGTAGAGGAAGGTTGGGGGGAATGAGGGAGGGGTGCGGAAGGAGAGATGAAATTAATGAGGTGTCACTTAACCGTATCACTTAACTCAAGTAGGGGCAGATAATGTTTCAGACACGCTTCTTGCAAGTTTGATGTAACACCACTGGGTGATCGCCTAATGACCAGATGTAGCAGAGTTGCGTCCCTTACATACATTAATATGCAAGAATCCCTAACAGTGGGTTTTGAACCCAAGATTCACCTTCATTCTTGACTTGTCAGCACCTTAACCATGCTTGAAGGTTCCATCAAAGTGGTATATAGAACTGACTATAAGCTCTATTTGTGCTCCTCCAACTTTAGAGTAAATTGGACTGACATGCTGGGGCACAGCTGAGGTCAAAGCAAAGTCCAACTCACTCACTCGATCTCAAAGTGTTTTGGTCCAGAGGGATTCATCACAATTCAGTTGTCTTAATTTGTTCATTCAATCCTGTGTCAGCAAGTGAGTGAGTGAGTGAGATTAATTTTACACCACTCTCAGCAATAGTCCAGCTATATGGCGGCAGTCTGTAAATAATCAAGTCTGGACCTGACAGTCCAGGGATCAACAGCATGAACATCGATCTACCCAAGTGTGATACGATGACATGTGTCAACCAAGTCAGTGAGCCTGACCACACGATCCCGTTAGTTGCCTCTTACGACAAGCATGGGTTACTGAAGATCAATTCTAACCCGGACCTTCTCGGGTCGTCAGCAAGTACAATTGATAACTTATCCACCTAAAGAGATAAAAATATTTCATATTAATGAACCAGCTTTTTGTCGATACTCAAATCCTTCCAAATGTGTGGCAGTATGGTAATGAGTGTGTGTAATTACACATGGGTTTAGTGACTTGTCAAACCTGGAGAATAAATATTTGTTACAGATAAATGCTCAAAGCTTAGCATTTTGTAACACAGGTGGAAATGTACACAATATCATATTATGGTACACCATACAGAATTACCAGCCATTGATGATGTTGATGATCACCCCAAGTTTCTTGCTAATAAGGTCAAATTGCCTCAATCTACCATTAACAGAATGGTTTCAAATTAAGTTGACAGTTTAGAGAAATGTTGGATTGTGAAGGGTGACTTGACTTCATGTGGAATCTATTAACACAAGGTTGTGAGAGAGCAGACGGCAGAGTTACATCAACAGCTGGACTGTTTTAAGTGAGATAAGTCGAAGCACTCAGATGTGTCTGTAGGTAACAATACACAAAGTAGTCCACCTGTATCCGCTGTGAAGAGGAACCAATTGTGTTTTATTGATTGGGCGTTATCACAGTTTCATAAATATGCACAATATTGATTCAGAGTATTCCGGATATAAAACATTACTTGATTTCATACTGCATGACTATCTCCTGATCAGTTAGGATGTGTCATTTCTGTTATAATAGATAGTGTTCAAAACTGATAACTGTTCCGGGATATTAGCAAGACTTATTTCATACATATGGTTAAGTTATTAATTTTCTATTTTTCTATGATGAATTCAACTGACCAGTGCTGACTCACCGGGGTGAAAAAAAGGTAAAAAGAACATAATAATAGATTTTTATTTTTAACTTTAAAATACTGAATGTGCTAGTATTACAATTTACAGATTTATTTAATGGATAAGTTGACGTGTTTGGTTACTGTAGTCTTCTCACAACGGAAAACACATCAGGGAAATACTGTCAGGATACCCAAACTACACTACAGATTCACCACTTTACACAGTATTAGAATTTGGTTAGAACAGGACAAGGACTGGCCAGTACACCTGCCAACTTTAGGTCACTTGATGAGATAAATGTTGTTTGACAAGCAAATACAATTATTTTCTCTTGGTCGATGAACCAGTTTATTGTCATACGGGTTTTGGTCCTTTTAGTTGGAGATTCAGCATGTGTTGGGAGGATGCTAACATTGTTTTTGGTTTCACTGTTTGATGGTTTAATCAACCAGGTTAGCTAAGTCATTATTAATATCATTGTCATCATCATATTTATCATTTTGCTGAAGGAATAATAGTAGTAATTCTGTTTTCCAATTTCCTCATTATTTGTGGGCTTGGGATATCTATCATTGAATTGGATTGAACATATCCGACCAAACAGTTATCATAATTGTTTTACATTGTTAAAATATGTATTATGTATGTTTTGGTCATTAGCACGACTTGTTCATAAGTCAAGTCACTGAGAGACCATGTTGGGATATGCTATTCCTCTTTCCATTTCACACAAGACTGATTCTCGATGATGGTATACTTTAATAAAGTAACATGCAATGGTATTATTAAAATAGTGTATCTGAGTACACCTGTATATAGTTTACTGTGTATAGTATTTAACCTGGCTAGTGTGCCGATTATCTTATTCTCCACCAAATTAAATATAGAACAATTTTTTATGGATAACAACTTCTTTATTTCGTGATTGCGACGTTTCGATAAAGATTCTTGTACCGTTGTCAAGCAAGAATCTGTATCGAAACGTCACACTCACGATAAAGAAGTTGTTATCCATAAAAAATTGTTCTATATTGTACGTTTCAACTTCTAAAATGCCACTCAAACAAATTAAATAATTGTCATTATTCCATCAATCATTCTTTCCCCTGCTAAACTTAAAAGAGAATAATACTCTTTTTATATTTCATATGGCCATGGATATAAATTCTTTCATATACCAAAATGTTCAAAACCAATTTCAATTATGTTTATTAAGATTAATAATATATTCAGAAGAAACTTTAAGAAACCTTTGCGGCTCATCATACCCAATGCAGGCAGTCTGTCACACATTCCATGAACTTTATTATTTTCCCTTACATGCAACTTTTATTGTAATGCTGTAAAAATGAAGCAAGTCTAGATTTTTCACCGGTTCAGAATCTCCCATCATACTGAATCTCCATTTCAATTTAGATTGAGTTGTTTGTTTTAAATGTAAGTGTTAACAGAAGCTAACTGTTTGTCTTCCAGTGCAGGTTTTTATGATTGAAATAATAAGTCATTGTTCCCAAACCCAGTTCCATTCTCTATAAAACATAAACAAGTCATCTGACATGGGAAACATGTTAGTTGTCAACAGGTGAGCCATCAGTAATTAGCCATGTTAACCTGGCTGTGAGGTAATTAACCAAGTGTCACAGTGCCCACTCATGCATACAGGAACTTCTCCAGCCTGGATGGTGCCACCCTGAAGATGTCTTTACTCAGCTGACAAGGTGTTTCTCCACAATGGCCTCATTGTATTGATCTTGACACACGCTGCTTATGTAATATTGAGTGCAGTATTCTTCTCAGCCTGTGCCTGATAAATCTGTTAAGCACATATCAAATCACTGTGCACCTATATGTAGCAAGAGCCACACAGGAGTACTTCCACCTGAACCAGGCTGAACAACTTAAAGGTATTGGAGATTTGATCATGGTGTTTGTGTAGAAGGGTTGATGACATGTCTTGGGTTTAGA